TTGTTGTTTGCCTTGTTGTTGTTGTTGTTGTTGTTGTTGTTGTTGTTGTGGTTGTAGTTGTTGTTGTTGTTGGTGGTGGTGGTGATGGTGATGGTGATGTCGTTGTGGTTGTTGCCCTTCTGCTGCTGCTACTGCTCCCGACATTACTGTAACAGTCCCGGCCCTTCCCCACCACTGCGATAACACAGCTCACAGGCTAGACTGGGCTACACTGCTCGATACCCCCCCCCCCCCTTTTAGCCGGCCTGTACACCTATTCGAGTCTGTTTCATGACAAAGTCTTGGAGCATGGTGGCTAATCGCTTGCATTCAAAAACTCATTGCGTGCATCATGAACGCTGGGGAGGGTGGCGATGCTTGCAAAGCATTGAGGGAACGCATAACCGTATAAACTCGATCATGGTCATCACCCTAAGGGTCCATGTACTCATGTGTGGCCTTAAAGCAGTTCTATGTATAGGTACGTTGGGGCCAAGGTATATACCATTTGGGTTCTACAAGGGCCTACATAATTACCAATACTATTTTGGGGGGTCCTTAGGATAAGTGTAGTATAGGCCCCAAAACCCTATTCTAATCCAGCAACAGGAACTTGTCCACCCCGAGCAGGGCCAGCCCCAAATCGGGAATCCATGTAACAAGCTAGGTAACAAGGTTTAGGGTTTAGGGTTTAGGGTTTAGAAACCCAGTAACCCATTACATAGGCAACCGGAGCCCGCGGGGCAATGCAATGGGAAAGGACGTGAGGCTGAACTTTCTAACTTCTATAGTCTGGCAGCAAGCCCCTAAACCCAAACCCTAAACCCTAAACCCTTAACCAAAACCCAAAACCCTAAACCCTACACCCCTAAACCCTAAACCCCAGCATGAGCTTGGCCCTGCACGCCGTCTGAGGCGGCAATGTCAACCTGCCACTGCACGATTCCAAACTCAGGTAAAGGAACCTACACGTGGGGAGTGTAGGGTATACAGGGCTTCTATGAGGGTTCCTTAAGGTATATAGACCTTCTATA